TTGTTTCTACACTAGATACACTAACTTCAGGACCATCTAAAATAATAAAAATGAAGTATTTCTTAAGGACGGTGATTATGATAACTTTTTTGGTGTAGAATCAAAAATAAATTGATAATTCAAAGAGGGATACTTTCTCTGATTCTCGTTTGATTTATATTTGTGTCAACACTAGACAACAATAGTTAAATCATCTATATAGTAATGCTGAATTGTTATTTTAAAACAAAAGGCTAATTTTTCGCCGTCAGTTACATGGCAATCTAAAACCAACATATGGGAAAAGATCTGTGATTCTGTCAACAGGTAAGTGTGCAATCATTTGATCATATCGCGATATCTGTCAAGTCAAGTAAAAATGGCGTCATTTCGATTGAAACTTAAAAACTGAAAGGCCGTCTTTAGCAATTTCATTTTCCGTTTTTTATGTAGATCAATTCTAAAAAAGAAGTTAGATCAAGGAAGATTGTTTTGCTGAAAAAATATAAACGTTTTTCGCGCTTTGTCTTTGCTTTGTTGTTCGGAGGTTCAGCTCAGCAGGTTTATTTGCACACGGTAATAGGCCTATTGGATTCTATTCGATATAGGTATATCTACAAACAAATCATTCTTTTATCATATATTTTCAGCATTGGAATTGCAGTAAGAAATGTTGCACAGATCAAAAAGGAAATGGATTGACATCAAAAGTGACGGTAGGTCTGAAGCTTATTAATTATATTTTCCGCGAATACTAATTATTAGCCTTATAACAATGTTTTTTTTCATTATTATTGTTTATTATCATATTATTGTAGCTCTAATCATTATCGGAACTGACAGTATACAAGGGTAATCCGTCTTTTAGAAGACCGGTATTTCATTTAAATATCAGTTTAGGTAACTGGGGTTAAGTTATAGCCCCAATTGATGAGAATGTGATCATACCATAAAGTTTTGAATCTTCTTCTTTTTTAGCGTTGAAAAAAAAACGACAGAAACAACAGGATGACAGTCGGTGGCAAGAGGGAGGAATTTACGCCTGGAGAGCAGCTTATAATAGAAGCTTTGACAAGTAAAAAAAGTGACTTGGTAACTGGCATATCCGGCGGATATGAAACTTGCACAAAAAGTCCGGTATGTACCCAACTGTTTTCCGGTGTTCATTTCATTACCGCTCTTGTGCGATAAAAAAGACCGTGTCCAAGAAATACATTTACATTAAAATTTCAAGGGCATTGTTTTGTCAAATTTATTATTTTCTACAATCAATTCATAATCCTGAAGTATATTACTGTAATTATCACTATGAGTAATAGTTTTCATTCTTGTTTAATTTCAGGCATACATTCCACCTACCGAAAGCAAGTAGTATATGAGCTTATAGATTGGTCGCATAGGGGGATTCCCCATTCCATTTCATTTCATGGGGAAAATGCAACCAATATATAAGCTCCCAAAAAGACCTACACTCCCTACATTTCATAAATTCTTTCACCTAAATTCCCTTCATTTTATAAATTCTTACACTTAAAGACCTAAACTCCCTATAAATTCTTACACCTAAAGACCCTTACATTTCATACACTAAAAACACCTTCAATCAATTTCCTACATTCCATCAAAAAAGAGAGTATATGAGCTTATAGATTGGTCGCATAGGGAATTCCCCATTCCATTTCATTTCATGGGCTCAATCTATAATCTCCCAAAAAAAGACCTAAATTCCCTACATTTCATAAATTCTTACATTTCATACACTAAAAACACCTTCAATCAATTTCCCACATTCCATCAAAAAAGCATATTAAAAATACCCTTATATAAAATAACATATCATCCGGTTTTTAATAACCTCGTTTAAGTAATGTAGAAGGGAGATAACTTTTTTTGGATAAAAACAGACTAAATTAACTCATTTAAAAATAGGATGAGTTTAATTCTAAAACACGAACAACACAGATTCGAAGATTATTCGGGCGACGGTATCTTTTCTTCATTATTTTCTCTCGGTAAAACAATAATTCCAAAAGTAGCTAGCTTTGTTTCAAAAAACAAATCACTCATTTCAAGCGGAGCGAAAGCCGTCGGCTCAATCGCGGAAGCGGGAAAGAGTATAAGCGACACAGTGAAACAATCTAACGAGTTGAAAGAATTAGAACTAATAAGAGAACTGCGAAACAGGAGATTAGAAGAAAGGAAAGGAAAAGGTTTTAAAGTTATAGGATAAAAATGATAGTCGGTCACGCTCCAAAAACTTATTTCGGTTCAGTAGATATACAAAAATCATTGGGTTCTCTTCCTGGATTTCCATGGGCGAAATATCCCAGAGAAAAACATCTTCCCGGTCATAATTACACCGGTCCAGGTACTAGGTTAGATCTGCGATTAGACGAAAACGATAAACCCAAACCAGGCGAAGAACCAGTCAATAGAGTTGACGCCGCTGCGCTTAAAATCTCTGGGATTTGAAATTTACAGCACGCATAACGAAGGTAAAGCTGTAGTTATTAAAAGATTTAACATGACTCTAAAAAATAAATTATTCAAAAAGTTCACGGAATTGAAATGCCAAAAATGGCTTAAAATATTACCAGTTGTTGTCGACGAATACAATAACAAAATTCATTCATCTATAGGTGTCACACCAACACAAGCCTCGAGTAATCCAAATATTATAAAGTCAATTAACGCGCAACATAACTACGAAAATGAAATAAAGAATTTAAATGTCAAACCCAAATTTAAAGTCGTAGATCGAGTTCGTATTTTCAAATATAAAAGTAAATTCGAAAAAGGTTATGTTGGATAATGGACGAACGAAATATTTATCGTTGATAAAGTAAACACTACATCACCTCCGACATATGAATCAATCGATCAAGACAAAGAACAAATCATAGGTAGGTTTTATCAAACGAACTTCAAAAAACCGACTTTTAAAAATGAATGAATTTCTCGATAAATATGGAACCGATACAACCACAAACTTTCAACTTATGAGATGGGCGAATGAGTTAAATATATCACCGTTTTATTATTGTATGAGAGATGAAATAAATAATCTGAAATGTAAGAAAGGTAAATTTTACGCTATAACAAATATACATACTTCCGATCAAAAAGGAGTTCATCATTCTGCTTTGTACAAAGACTCTGACTTTTATTTCTTCGATTCTTATGGATTAGAACCCACTGAAGAGATAATCCAATTGACTAATAAACCATTCAAATGTTCAACATTTCAAATTCAATTACCGGGACAAAAGTTTTGTGGTCAACTTTCACTTTGGGTTTTATATCAGTTGAGTTTAGTAAAACAGTTTGAAGAAATTGTAATAAATTTAACTCAATAAAAATGGCGAATAAGTTTGGATTAGGTTCTTTATCTTTAGAAACCAAAAAACCTAACACTACAGCGTGGATAAATAAAGCGAAACCTTACTTCCTGGATCAAATCGGAGACACTCTTCAAGGTGATTTAGATATGAACAATTTTAGCATAACTAATTTAAAGTCTCTGGAAAACGATAATGATGCCATTCACAAGAAATATTTAATGCAACAATTAAATTTAATTGAAGTAAATAAAGATCATTTAAAAGAAAGAATAAATGATGTGAAAAGATTCTTCAAACGACAAATGAATAATAAAGATTTTATTGATGATACTAAATTACAACAAGAAGTAACAAGTTTGAAAAGTTTTATTGAAGAACAATTGGTCAACCTAGTTTTTAAAACAGGATAAAAATATAGTCGCATTAGAAAAAAAGTTTCTCAAGAAAGAATCATATTATTTCAATCTTCCATTTGGAAATTTGAGAGATTACGATGCTTATATTACTGATAATATTGATAAATCAAAAGACTATGGATATAAAAAATATGGATTTACAGCAAATATTAGAGTATATTCTGTTCCAAATTATACTATTCATCCCAAAAATATTTTTGATCCAGATGCTCATAAATCTTATCAACCAATATATTTTGATTTCCGAGGAAAACTTATAATTGAAATAACTTTCTCTTTTCAGGTAAAAGTTGATTCATTATTCTTCACACAAGGCTTAAGTAGACATAATAACAAATTTAACGCTAAAAAAGTTCTTCAGTTTATCAATGGTACAAAAAATGTAGAAACTAAAGAATATGAAAGTAACGACGAAAACAACAAGCTTCACCACTTATATGAAATTAAAACGAGTGGAAAATATATAGATAGGCTTAGAATGTTAATCATACAAGATAAAGAAGAAGATGAATTTATATTGAGTGATTTTGATATGATATTGGAAACGGAAACTCCACCATCAATGAATATTATTAGAAATCCAGAACCACAAAAAGATATAAGCTTTTATGAGTTTTTACGAGCAACAGACTTTGAATACGTAAAACTATATTTTGTTGATAATGGTAAATTTATCTCAATTGATATTCATAAAAGTCAACAAAAACAAAATTTTTTAATAAGAGATGATGCATATGTTAATATAATAATCTCTATTGAAAAACCAAAATTTTCAGTTCATCTGAATAAGATTAATGATTCGAAAGAACAAATATCGTTAGTAATTATACGAGTTGTTATTAATAAACACATAGCAGCTTTATCAGAAGTTCACTTAATTTAATTACCTAAAAATGGAACTCGAAAGTAGACAAAACTACATGATAGAAAAACAAAATGAACTAAAAGAAAAACTAAAACAATTCAACAAATGCAGAAAAACATGGAGTAGAATCGATTCTGTTTTCAAAACATTAAGTACAGTTTTAACAATAGGGATAACGGTGGCAACAGCCATAACCGGTGGATTAATGCTTCCAATAATTGTCCCAACTGTATTAGCCGCGTTCACTGCC